ATTTATTTAATTTTTGTATTGGCAAATGCTCTTTCTCTCACTTTTCTTCCAGGACCCTGGGCAGATTGCCCCTCACAGTATCTATGGTGATAGAAACTCTCTCTATGTAGAGTCTGCCAAGCCTGACCCTCCTTCGCTTTACCCTCTGGTCAAGGACTCCGGGGTTACCTCCTGCCTGGTCACTGTGTGGCCCCCATGTCCCCAGCATCCCTGCTCAGACAGGCTTCCTGACCTTGCCAGAGTGCCACGACCCCTGTCCAAGCTCCCGGGCTCTGATGGGAGACAGAAAGGTCCCTACCTTCCCTCTCTACCCAGGGCCCTCACCTGCAAACTGGGTTCATGAGCAGCCGCTGTCACAGGAGGGACAGGTGGGGACGTGTGCGGACGGGGTGGCACGAGTCTCCTGTGGCTGCTGGCACAAATTCCCTAAACTCAGTGGCTCAAAACAGCACATATTCGTGACCTCACAGGGTCAGGAGTCCTACACGGCTCCCACGGGGCTGAAATCCAGGTGTCAGCTGGCTCCTTCCGGAGGCTCCAGGGGAGACCCGTCTCCAGCCTTTTCCAGCTTCTAGAGACCCCGCGTTCCTTGGCCCGTGGCCCCTTCCTGCGTCTTCAGAGCAAGCAGCGGAGCATCTTCCAGTCTCTCTCTCTGCTTCCGTCCTCACATCTCCTCCTCTGACTTTGTCCCCCCGCCTCTCTCTGGTGAGGATGCTTGTGACTGCTTTGGTGTGTACCTGGATCATCGTCGTTGTTGTTAGGTGCCATCAAGTCGATTCCGACTCATAGCAACCTTATGAACAGCAGAACGAAACACTGCCCGTCCCACGCCATCTTCATGATCATTGTGATTCTTGAGCCCATTGTTGCAGCCACTGTGTCAATCCATCTCATGGAGGGTCTTCCTCTTTTTCTCTGACCCTCTACTTTGCCAAGCATGATGTCCTTCTCCAGGGATTGATCCCACCTGATAACGTGTCCAAAGTCTGTGAGACGAAGTCTTGCCATCTTCGTTTCTAAGGAGCACTCTGGCCGTACTTCTTCCAAGACAGAGTTGTTTGTTCTTCTGGCAGTCCGTGGGATATTCAGTATTCTTCACCAACACCACAACTCAAAGGTGTCAATTCTTCAGTCTTCCGTGTTCATTGTCCAGCTTTCGCATGCATGTGAGGCAATTCAGACCAGCACGGCTTGGGTCAGGCGCAGCGTAGTCCTTAAACTGACAACTTTGCTTCTGAACACTTTAAAGAGATCTTTTGCAGCAGATTTGCCCAGTGTAATACATCTTTTGATTTCTTAACTGTTGCTTCCATGGGTGTTGATTGTGGATCCAAGTATAATGAAATCCCTAACAACATTGATCTTTTCTCCATTTATCATGGTGTTGCTTACTGGTCCAGTTGTGAGGGTTTTTGTTTTCTTGATGTTGAGGTGTAATCCATACTGAAGGCTGTGGTCTTTGATCTTCACCAATAAGTGCTTCAAGTCCTCTTCACTTTCAGCAAGCAAGGTTGTGTCCTCTGTATAACGCAGGTTGTTAATGAGTCTTCCTCCAATCCTGATGCCCTGTTCTTCGTCATATAGTCCAGCTTCTTGGGTTATTTGCTCAGCACACACATTGAATAAGTATAGTGAAAGGATACAACCCTGACATATACGTTTCCTGACTTAAAACCAAGCAGTATCCTCTTCTTCTGTCTGAACAACTGCCCCTTGATCCATGTACAGGTTCCTCATGAGCACAATTAAGTGTTCCGGAATTCCCATTCTTCACAGTGTTATCCATAATTTGTTATGATCCACACAGTCGAATGCCTTCGCATAGTCAATAAAACACAGGTAAACATCTCTCTGGTATTCTCTGCTTTCAGCCAGGATCCATCTGACACCAGCAGTGATGTCCCTGGTTCCACGTCCTCTTTTGAATCCGGGTTGAATTTCTGGCAGCTGGTGATGTACTGCTGCAACCACTTTTGAATGATCTTCAGCAAAATTTTCCTTGTGTGTGATGTTAATGATATTGTTCGATAATTTTCACATTTGGTTGAATCACCTTTCTTTGGAATAGGCATAAACATGGATCTCTTCCCATTGGTTGGCCAGGTAGCTGTCTTCCAAATTTGTTGGCATAGACAAGTTGGTATTTCCAGCGCTGCATCTGTTTGTTGAAACATCTCAGTTGGTATTCTGTCAATCCCTGGAGCCTTGTTTTTCACCAATGCCTTCAGTGCAGCTTGGACCTGTTCCTTCAGTACCATCGGTTCCTGATCATATGCTGCCTCCTGTAACGATTGAACGTCGACCAATTCTTTCTGGTACGGTGACTCTGTGTATTCCTTCCATCTTCTTTTGAGGCTTCCTACATCATTCAGTATTTTGCCCATAGAATCCGTCACTATTGCAACTTGAGGCTTGAATTTTTTTCTTCAGCTCTTTCAGCCTGAGAAATGCCGAGCATGTTCTTCCCTTTTGGTTTTCTATCTCCAGGTCTTTGCATGTGTCATTATAATACTTCAGTTTGTCTTCTCAAGCCATCCTGTGAAATCAGCTACCTGATGTTCAAGAGCAAGTTCAGAGTCTCTTCTGACATCCATTTTGGCCTTTTCTTTTTTTCCTGTCTTTTTAATGACCGCTCGCACTCTTCATGTATGATGAAGACTACCTGGATGGTGCAACGATTAATGTGCTAACTCAAAGGTTGGAGGTTCGAGTCCACCCAGAGGCACCTTGGAAGAAAGGCCTGGCCATCTACTTCCAAAAAATCAATGATTGAAAACCCTGTGGAGCAGGTCTTTCTATACTGACACACATGGGGTCGCTGTGAGTTGGGGTCCACTCAAAGGCAAGTGGTTCGGGTTTGTGCATGTGTGTGTGTGTGAGTCTTTGGACCCACCCAATAATCTAGGATCATCTCCCATCTCAAGACCCTCACTTGATCCATTTGCAGAGTCCATTTAGCCGTGTCATTGTGGCTGTCAAGTCGTGGCCTGGTGACCCTGTGTGTTACGGAGTAGAGCTGCTCCATAGGATTTTCTTGACTGTCATCTTTATGGAAGCAGATTGCCAGGCCTGTCTTCCATGGCACTGCTGGGTGGGTTCAAACCACCAGCCTTTAGGTTAGCAGCCAAGTGCTTAACTGTTTGTGCCACCCTGGGACCTTCTTTAGCCATGGAAGGGGGCACGTTCACAGGTCCTGGGAGCTGGGGCCTGGCCTTCTTTGTGGCCATTGTCCCTCTGACCCCGGGCCTGAGAAGCATGGTGCTGTTTCGTGCTGACGGTTTCCATCCTCCAGAAGTAACGTCCTGAGTCCCCTGGCTGCCTCTGCCTAGGGCCTCTCACTCCCTGCACTTCGGCCGGCTGCCTGTGTGTGCCCTCCCCAGCCCCATGGGAGCACCTCTGCTGACAGGCGGAGTCTGTCCCTCCCTGGTCCCAGGTGTCCTGCTCAGTACTGGTGGCTGCAGTGCACGGAAACGCGGCTTCCTCTGCTCGTGGGAGACCTGTCACCACGCGCTCTAGAGCCCAGGGTTGGTGCAGTCTGCGGGACCAGGAGGCCAGGAGGTCTTTGCAGGGGAGGGGAGGGGCAGCTAAGGCCAGAGAGGAGCAGAGGTGACTGGAGGGGGAGCAGCAGGTGAGCAGCTCACCATGGAGGGCGGGGGACGTTCTGGGTTTGGGGACCAGAGCTGGCTAGTGAGCGGCAGGTGAGCAGATCACCGTGGAGGCTCAGGGACCAGCGCTGGCCAGGGTGCAGAGGCATGTGGGTGCCCCTGCATGTGACAGGGTGGCAGAAGTGGGGCCCGACTGTTAAGGGGCAGGGACCACACCTGCCAGCCTCAGCCCCCTACCCTCATGCCCAGGCAGCGGGGCGGTAGGTTCATGGTGTTTCAGCCAGCGCTCCCAGGGATCCCTGAGAAAGGGGGAGGCTGGAGGACCAGGTTGGGAGGCACTGCGGGGGTTGTTGTCTTTGTCATGGAGAAAGAGGGGGGATCCTTTCCAGCGACAGACCAGCAGCCTCCCCCTCCCAGTGCTCAGCTTCAGGGGACCATCCTGGAGACTGCGTGACACAGGCTGTGTGACCTAAGGCTCCTGTCTGAACCTCTCTGAGCCTTCATCTGTGCAGGGCCACCAGTGCCCTCGTCCAGGGGCTGCGGAGGGGACACGGCTACGTGCGCTGACCTCCCTCCCACCCTCCGGCAGGCACACCGTTCCCCAAGAACTTCCTGCAGGCGGTGAAGAAGATCCTGTCGCGGCTGTTCCGCGTGTTCGTGCATGTCTACATCCACCACTTCGACCGCATCGCCCAGATGGGCGCCGAGGCGCACGTCAACACTTGCTACAAGCACTTCTACTACTTCGTCAGGGAGTTCGGCCTCATCGACACCAAGGAGCTGGAGCCGCTGGTGAGAACGGGGAGCCGGGGTGGTGCAGGTGGGCAAGGGTCTGAGCATGGCCTCCCATCCCCCAGGTCACTGCGGCCTCGGGCACGCAGCCTGAGAGGCCCGGGCAGGGCCAGTGTCCACGCCGTGGGGCTGCGGCCAGGGATCCCCCCAACGAGCCAGTGTCCACGCCCTGGGGCTGCGGCCAGGGATC